ATGTTTTTTGAGGAGCTCTCTAAAAAAAAAAAAAAACAGTTGGATGCAAGGGCCTGCAGTCAAGGGGCTGCTTGTATTGTCAGTCCTTAGCATAAATTCAGTATATTGTATAACTTTTTTTAATGCAGAGGTCATTTATTCTTCGCTTGGTGAATTTCCCCGGAAGCCATACTTAACCAGATAGCTCTCACAGACGTTCAAAAAGTATTAAAAGAAAAGTTATTAACTTACCCACAGCCAAAAGGTAGTCTCAATCATTTCAACTTCTTTTATTCACCTTCTCTTTAATCTGAACTCTGTCATTTTGCCTTTCTTTTCAGAAGTTCCTTCGAACCGTTGTCGGTCTGTCCAATTCAAATGTTTTTTTGTTGGAAAGATTCATTAGCTGGGCCGGTTAGCATATTGGTTAAATGCAAGGGTGGCCTCTTTGTGGCCACAGGGTTTTAAACCAAGGGTCCGCTGAATGATCCCTCAGGTTGGAGTGCTGGCGAGGCGCTGAAGCCACACATCGAAAGAACGTGGCATTCATATTTCCGCCATGGTGTTATATGAAACTCCCTTGTATTTGCCGTGGTTCCATTTTGTGCCGTAAAGTGGTATAGGTGACATGGTAATACATTTGCATTGTGCCCGGTGATAAATACTCTACCAGGTCTTACTCACTCCGCTGCTTCCGAATGTGTCCGGACAGCGCCTGCATTGTCAAACGCACGGGGCTCATTCAGAAACTCAGTCTCCCTCCCTTTCCACCTTTTGTCAAATATTTCTGCACGGGTGATAGTTTTCTCATTTATTTAGTGAATAGTCGGCGGGTGAAGAAGAAAGAGAGTTTTTACATTATGGAAATGATGGAACGGGTTATAATCTCCCACATATTCATCACGACAGACATTGGACCCTTGTGATACCGTCCTCCATTTGGCCATTGTTCCGGTTCCCTTTTCCGCGAACTGTTCCCCTCAATGGGCAAAGCGGGCTTTAATCCTGTCTCTCTTTGGAATGACAATGTTTACCAGCTATCATTCAATAAGGAGCCAGGAGCATGACACACATCTCTCTGTCACTTTTAATGCTGTGTGAATGTGCGAGACCCAGATTCAAAAGAAAGGTATTGTTAGCCCTCTGAGGAGATAGGATGGAAGGGTGAGGCTAGTTCGACAAAGTGATCGGACATTTGTGCGCGTGTTTCCTAACCCGTAAAACCTCTCAATACTTTTTCACCTGAAATTCCTGTCTCACTATATACATTACACTACAGTTAAAACATAAGCCCTGAACACACCTTTGGAGTCCAACACACTGACATGGCAATGTTGGGTAATTATTGCCTGTAAGTGGGGATTAGGTTTATGGATGTTGACAGTAAAATCGCTCTCAGAGCATGCGGATCAGACACATTCTTGCAAAGAGTGAAGGTGTTTGTGCATAACACCCTCTTCTTTCACGTCGCCCCCTTGTCATGTGTTTACAGTTCACCAGTAAATATGGGCTTATTTTTCCCCACTCACTTCTCTCTTATTGTGAAAGGACGCACAAGCCAGCTAATGAGATTTCTGAATATATGAAAGGAAGAAAAAAAACAAATCCAAGGAAGCAAAGATGTTTGTCTGGCTTTATTTGCCCTCCGCTTCCCTTCCTCCCTTCCAAATTGTTTTCCCTTCAAAGTCTTGACAGCGATAGGGATTAGTGCCATAGCTGCTAACAATCATTAGTGTGTTTTCACCATTGTGTCATGCACTGTTTTCTACCACCACCGCCCAGGCTTACCTCCTGCACGTGTCTCCTGCTTTCGTGCCAAGCAAGAAATGAAAAACAATCACAGCGACCTCCAGCAACCCCTTCTGACGCACAGACAGTTAAATGGTTTGTAAGACGTTTAATTACCAAATGGTATAATCGTTATTCATCTCATCATTAGATGTATGATATTAAGTGAATTGCCTCCCTTGGGTCCCTGTGTTTCACAGATCAATAGATTTAGATGGAGCTTGAAGGGGGGGGGGGGGGGGGCGGAGGCAGTTAAAACACTTCTGAAGCCCCTGATATGACCATGTGCATTGTTTGTGTGGTGCACCACGGTGACATTCCCTCATTTATTTATGCAATTAGCTTTTATATGGGTTTAATTATGCTAATTTCTCTGTCTGAACCCAGGAATGGTAGTATGTCACTTTTTTTCTTTTAATGGATTTGCAGCTCGTGGGTTTATTTTGATGGTGAAAGGACATGAAACAATAGACAAGGTTATGGCACCGCCGACTTCCCATCGGCAGAGTGCTTGCGTTTGCACTTTGGGACACTTTGTTGGTATCAAGCATTGTTTGAAGGCATTGTGGAGATTGCTAATGCAGCGTGTACACCTCTGAGGCCCAGTAGCCTGCAGCTTGATATCGCCTGTATTCCCAATGTGAATATGGCTGAGTGGTGATCGGGGACTTGCTGCACCACAAGCTGCTATTCACTGCAGCCGGCACTACTAGCCTGAGTTAATTGTCCATTATCTGCTATTATCTAAGCTCTACCCCTCTCTGTCTCTTTTATTCTCTCTCGCTCGTGATTCGAGCCGTCACCACCAGTTTCACTCTCTCAATATGCTGTGTCCACTGCTTTCCCCCTACTTACTCTAGCAAACTTATACCAGTTTTGTAGCCAAGTCCTGGCAACTGAGTTCAAATAGTAATAATGATTCCCTTTGTTCCAGAGGTACCTCGAACATGAAGTCAGCAAAGCATCATTTTCATCTCTTGTCTTATCGTCTCCCTACTCGAGTGGGAGGTGCTCTTGTGTCTAATATTCCCACCCAGAGTAAAGATTTGAAGAGTATTTTCTCTGAAAACATACAGATTACATTTGAATTACGCTTTTTCAAAAGGAATGTTTTATACGTGTTGATGACGTATATCTGTTTGACAAGAACAGAGATCTCTTGTTGTAGATAAATAAATACTATAAATTGGAAGTTTACAGAAGAAGACTCTCCTCTTAGATTGATCAGGTGATAGATCTGCTGAGGAATCCTCAGAAATTTCACTTGATGGCACTGTTTTCCTTTTTGCTCCAGCTGAAGCAACAGGGCATGTTTTATGTATGCTGGGCACAATGTGAAAAAAAAGGAGCCTGGCTGTGCCACAGATATGTGTGTCTTCCTTTCTCTTGCTGTCCCTGGGCACCGAGGAACACGCTGGAACACTGACAAACAATAAGATCATGCACTCTACTATTTAAAAAAAAAAAAAAAAAAAAAAATCATTATGCTTCAGATAAAATGGTTGAAAAATCAAGTACATATTGGCACAGTTACTGCACAGTTGTTCATTAATTTTTTTGGGTGTTTTGGAATATTTTCCTTCTCTTGCTCGATGCTTCTTTTTCTTTAAAAAAAATAAGAAGTTTGAGGGCTTTATCTGCATTTTATTTCTTGCCTGCTAGGAAAATGTGATGTATATTTTAATGTAAATTTTAACTGTCACTATTCAGCAGTTTAAATTAATTAAATTGCATTCCTCCTGTGCTGCCAGGCGATGCTTTAATAAGTACATCAACAAGATGATACAAATTATAAAGCCTGGAGTGTTCATTTCAATCATACACCTCTCAACTGATATAGTCAGATCTTCACCTGCAATTAGTCCCCCCCCCCCGCACACACACGTGCATACACACAATGTAATGCATACATTATAAAGTGCTACACTTTTTATTAGAGTTTAGAAATAAATGCAAAGTATTAAAGCATAAAACTCAGTTGAAAGGGAGAAATGGTTGCCCTTTGTCCATTACTCTCCCTGCTGTCTAACGGGGAGGGAGGGGGATTAAACCAAGTTTAAATAGAGGTTGGATGGATGGATCGGGGGTGCGTAGGGTGGTGGGGGTCAAGATCATATTAAGAGCTCACAAAGCAAATGGTTCAGCGTTGGTCTGGTGGCCCTGCCTCATGAGCAGCCTCTAAAGACGCAATATATCACAGTGAAAAATAGCTGGAGCTTGTGTTTCAGCGTCGTGCGCATCATAAATAAAGGTGTGCCACGTATAATTGAGGCTCGTGCATGGGGGAACGCGGCTGGAGATGAGAAATGGAAATCTGTGTACTGGTAAATAGATAATCACACAAAAGTAATTGAGGTTTTCAAACCCCAATCTAGTCTGCCAGCATGAGCTCGTTTGCATGTTAATCACGTCGGTGATTTCCCTTCATCACAGGGAAGTCCGTGCACACTTCCATAACCAGCATTTAATTGCATTTAAAATGTCACAGAGGTGGAACACATGTAATTTAGCCAGAACTGTGTCCAAATTAATGGGTACTACTGAGACGCTCCATTGGACAGGGTTGGAAATGAGAGAGGCTGTCCATTGTTTGGGTCTTTATTAGAGAGTCTTCCAGTCGCTCCACGATAGCATCTCTTCAGTACATATCAAGACTTCAAAATTAAATCTGACAAGCATTTTGTGAAGGACTTTAACACTACTGTAGATGCCAACTTCTTGCAAAAATAAGCCAAATGGATGGACATTAGAAAGGTGGGGAAAGAAACATCAAAGGGAAAGACCACAAAGCCAAAGTGTTGGGTTTTAAATGGAGAAGAGAAAGGGGGGAATAGTTTATTTTCTATCATCACCAGGTGTTCTGTGGTGTATAAATTACCAAGATGATGTTTCCATAACACAGCTTAGGGCACTCTAGAGAGGGGGAACCTGCAAAACAGACCTATTTAATTTTTCATTGAGGTAGACCATCAGGAGCAATAAGCCAATATTCCTCTTCCCCTTTTTCCAGATGCCTTCCACAGCACTGTATCTTACCAAAACCCAAGCCCCTCTTACTTCTTTCTCTCTTTTTTTTTTCCAAAAAAAGGAAAAGTTCTGCCGAGACCTACATGAAAGGAAGGAACTGTTGAAATGTTAATTTTACCATCTGCTGTTGAGGCCTGCTACCTTTTTTTTTTTTTTTTTTTTTTTTTGTGTTTTTTTTTTTTTTCTCCCCCCCCCCCTGCCTTCTTTAATTCCCAGTAGTTCTGTTCTGTTTCATGAATGTGCTGCTATTTTGGCTGTTTGAAGTCATGGGGTCTCTCCTATAGCATGGCTTTGACCGGCTGGAAAATACAATGCCACATGCTGGATGGTGGAGGCCGTCCATTAGTTTCCTGTTAAACGCCCGGTCCCTCCTGGTAACCCTGTTTCTTATACCAGTCCCAAGGCTCCAGTTCCGCTCCCGTGCCCACCTCCAGCACACCGTCTGTCAGTCTCCCCCGCTGACTTAGTCCTGCCCTTGCTCTCTTTCCTTCCTGAGTGTTCACGTCTTTGGGGACCTATTTAGTGTGTTTATCTTAATGCTGAGGATTTTAATCACTCATTTACAAGACCCCTAGCACCTTTAGCTAATCAAAGTTTTTTTTCTCTCTCTCAGCACACATTATATTAGTTTTCCTGTAAGCTCAATAAACCCCAGCACATCCAAGATAGAAATTAAATTCCTGACAACTGTGTTCCTCCATCTTTTTTTTTTTTTGTTGCGTCCCGTCTTCTCATCAGACAAGTTGACACATTTAAAAAAAGCCAAAGCGTATTGCCAAGTTTGCTGTGAAGATTTTGCCAAATGGAGAGATTCCATTGTGAGATTTGATAGTTGGCAATTAGGGTGAGACATCCTGTGTGCAGAGTTGCTTAGCATTTTCCTTGGCCGGGACCAGATTGTTTAGTCTGCTCTCATTGTGAGCTGTTTCTGAGCTGCACTTGACGGTTGTTTGCAGAGCGCTGGGGGAAAATGTGAGAGGGGCCAGTGCCTTTTTCTCTATTTATTTATTTTCCCCGTCCTCGGAGCTAGAATCTGATTTGTGTTCATGTTTCTCTATTCTCTCTGAGCGGTTTTTAAGTGTGGCTGCTGAAATCTAGACTCTGTATGACCTCACTGTGCGGCCTGTGTTTCATTAATGACCAGCCCTGTGGTTTGGGGGAGAGGAATATTTTTCATATGACACCGCCTTGCATTAGCGCGGAGCGGCAGCTGCAGAACCACAAAACCATCCAATTTTGTGGCTTTGAAAGGTGTGAAAAGTTCAGCTCCCTATAGCAAGCGTTGCATTTATAATTATAGTCCGTGTATACGTGTGCCTGTATGTGTCAAGGAGCGGAACTACTGAAGACTTGTAAAAGTAACAACTCAAAGAAAGAAAAAGTCACCTGCTTATGAAACATTTGTCTTTCATTCTGCTCGGCTGAAGTAAATAGTGGCAATATATATTTCAGAGTGAGACGTTTACACACTCCCAGGGTTGACATGCTACGCCTAAGAGAAGCCACCTAAAATAACACGCAGACATTCAAAGTGGTGTAGGTAGCATTTTGACAGCTTGATTCATTTGGAATAAATATTTCATTTCAACGTGGTTTCATACTGTTTGGACCCTTAGAGTCCCTAATACAAGCATGTCTTTTTAAGTCTTTAAAAAAAAAAAAAAAATGTTTTTAAGTGCCACATCTGGCATAAGAGGTATTTCTTCGCAGATTGATTGATTTCCCAGGCTTTGTTGGAAGCAACTCACGCGAGCCACACGGCAATTGACTAAAAAGCATGCAACGATTCACAGACACACGTAGCAAGCCTCGCCACCCCTCCCCTCCAAATATAACCCCAGACACTAGACTACTGTAACTCTGTTTTGTACCTCGCAGGATATTGAATATCCAAAAGGAAACCTCGGATTTGTCCCGTCCCCAAAAACAAAGAGCCCTTGTGCTGCCGCCCTCCGCCTCTCGCTCGCGCTCGCTTTTAAAACCAAACCGTTGCTGTCACCGTAACACAACAAACGCAACTCATTTGAATACACGAGATAGCTTGTGCGTATTTCCAGATCATCCCTAGCCATTCATCACTGCACTTCCGTAGCCCTGGCAGCATTAAGTGTGGTGGCTGTCAGCTTGAAGGCAGGAGGTGGAACAGGGAGAGATTGAGGTTAGTCACCAGGGCTCAGGGAGAGTGAACAAAGGAGAAGATTACCTAATAGTCCTGCTATGTATTTTGAAGTGGAGCCTGCTGTTTGTTTGGGGAGGTTCAGGGCTGGATGTGCAGGGAGATGTTTCACAGGCAGCTGATGGGTACTTTTAAGCTGTCAGAAACACCCGCTTTGCCATTCGTCTTCCCCAATAGACGGCAACAGGCTACGACAGGGCCAAAGAGGCGATACAGAGAGAAAGTTAATGATGTTTCCAGAGTTCGCAAACTCTCGAAAATGTTGCCTCCAAGTATAATTGGGTGCCTTATTGTAACTTAAAAGTCAGCCATGACGATGGTTGACAAGTGTTTTTTAGCCACTGATGCGCACTCCACACACTTATTTCGGGGTCTGGTGTTACGAGATCTCTAATGAGTCTGCTCTCGACTTGTATGTGTTTTGTAAACAACACTCTTTGCAGGTTGTCACCGAGAAATAAAAGTTCTATAGTCTTAATTACATGCCAAGACTGCACACAACAAACTGAAACGGGGACATACTCGTGCGCATCTGAGGGTCATTTGTGTAATCTGTTGCATCGTTTTCCTAAATTAACCTCATTAAGGAAACGTAGCGTTGGAAAGGTACACAGATTTCTTGATTTAAGGTTGTGATACGTGCAACATATTGCGAGTAATTCACCAGGTGAATCAATTTTGTGAACAAAAGACTTTTCTTACTTGGATTTCTTAAAGGCGTTGTTGGACAGTATGACCCAAACCAATCTGTTAAAAACTTTTAAAGTGGTGTCACTGAATTTCTTTTCCTTGACCCGTAAATTGCAGTCTTCCTTTCTCCTGTGATTTTGAACAAACAGTTCCATCTCTCGATTCTCTGAAATCCCCGCCAGCCTTTTTCTGTTTTGATAAATTGTTCATCTCGTCCTATTTTCAAAGTCATCAGCGATTGCTTTTTTGCCACTCAGAGTACTGAACATGGACGGCTTTTAAAGGTATGATAAGTGGCTCAATCCTTGTGCTAAAGCATTTTTTACTGAAGATTTAATAGCTACTGTATAATGAATTATAATGTATTCTCTCCAGTTGCAAATTTCCTCTAATACAGCTCTTCTGCCGTCGCAAAAAACGCCCATCTGAATATTATTGTGACCAGCTTTTTAAGAATACAAATCAATTGCATGGTTTTAAGTAGTTAGATTCATACTTTTTGTCATAAATTTCCCCCCAATGCCAAATTAAATGGTGCTTGTACAACCGGAACAGCTAACCAATTTCAAGTAGTGACATCATGGTCAGCTCCAAGTCAACTATCTGTTTTAGTCGAAAATACAACCGTTCAGCCGAACATTTCAGCCTAGTTTGAACTCATTGAAAAGCGGCAGGCTTATGAATCATCTTTGCTGTTCCCAATTTAATGGAACATACCTTTCAATGACCGCGTGTACCCGCACATCATCAAAGTGAAACTTCACAAAGTTCCGCTTAACTTGTTGCCGAAATAGTTTCTCGTTTTCAAGGAAATTGCAGCGCGCCAGGTCTCAAGAAGTGTATCGGGTTGGAATCTTCCCTGAAGGAAAAATTGCCACTTGCATACTTGTCTTTGACCAAAGTGAAGCCCTCACCCACTCCAGGGGGAACACGCGCTGTTTAGGAAGATATAAAGGAGTAATTTTATTACTCGGTACATCTCCCCCTCAGAAGCCATTTCATTTCTCCTTTCAGCTTCCACAGAAGCCTTTATTTGATCTCATATTCCAGAGTATGACGGGCTCAAACCAGTCGGACTCCGTTTATTTTCATTTTGGAAAACACATTTAGTGTTGGTGGGGTGGCAGTGGATGGAAGTGGAGAGCAGGGGGTTCGGATGTGGAAGTTTCTCTATCACATGTTAATGTCCTCCTGCAGGGATTTTATTCCCACTGTGCCTGAGATTGTTGGGAGCCAAAACTTTACATTTAATTCTCCCAATTTGATCAGTGTGTGACTTCCTTCAGTGTTATCAAGACTCCTCTCCTCTCCACACAAACGCTTCCTTGCAGATAACTGTTTAAGTTTGCATCCAGACAGTGAGACCGATACAGCTGGATACCCTTTACTCAGTGCTTTGAAACTGCAGATCATTGCAAATTGTGCGATTTTATTAGGCAGCCCACTTAGGCAGCCCAGATGTAGCTGGTCACTCGAGAGCGAGACGTCCTCATAACTTTGAGACTTTAGAGCGGCCGCAACACCCGATTGTGGAGTCAAAATTAACCTCCAATCCCCATCCGTCCTTAAACTCCACATCTTTGGCTGTTTACCAAACCCTGGACCAGTTGCCTGGAAGAGCTCAGACTGTACCAGAAGTCCTGCATTTCCTCTCCCTCTCTCTCCTATTTAATAGTGTCTCTGTCTGTGCCTGCAGCACCTACTGTATATCCTCTCCAGCCGTTTTACTGGTGACAGCACAATGAAAACATTTTTTGTGAAAAGTGTCGTTTCATTGCTCCGGAAGTCCCACTCACCTAAATAGTTCCTCTATGTCTTGTGTGTCTCTCTGTTTTCTTTTCTTTTTCTTCTTTTTTTGGGGGGGGGGGGTCGTAGCCTCCACTGGGCTCAGTTCCACTCGATGAATTACCTCCAGATGTATTTCCTATCCCCCCCGCCTTTCGCCCTCAAATTAGTGGCTAGCAAAAATTAGGTTTGAATTAGCCACGGTGTGGAGAATAGAGGAGTTTGAAATTTCCATATAATGAGTTTATTATTCTTTGCTGGAATGCCGTTTTTTTCCTGAATTAATTTGATCAGGGGGGCTTTTTAGGTGTTATTGGTGTCTAGTTGAATGGTGTTTTAGTCATGAATGGATAGCCACCGTGTCAGCAGTAAGTCAGAAGGCCGGGGGTAATCAGAGGACTCTGAAGTCCGCACTTCAGCAGAACGCTCCATGCCTCAATAGCTTCTGGAGATGATTCCCAAACCATCTCCATTATCCAATTCATGGTCGGTATTTAATTTGTCCGTCATCCCGCGTGGAAGTACTTTTCATCGCTACTTGCAAATGCGTCGGCAGGATTCCTCGGGCCTTAGACGGCGGTTGTTGCTTAGCGTATGCAGGTGTTGTGCTCTTTTGACTGCCAGTAGAGCTTGTCTTTCTGCCATTCAACTGTGTAGTCACGGTTCTGGGAATGATAATCTCTTTGGCAGAGCTTGGAGCTGTGGGATCCTCAGACGCTACAGATCACTGTCCATAAATGGGTTTCAGATTCATCACGAGCGTCTGAAACGACTATTGTATCTCTCTTCTTTTTTCTTTCTTTTATTTTTTAGCTGTTCCTTCATCTCGATGACATCTCAGTGGCCGGTAACATTAAAAAACAACAACTCAGTAGCGTGTACGTTTCCCTGAGAAGGAATCTAATTTAAACTGCAACCGCCTTCACTGTATGATAGTATCTACTACTGTGAAAAAAGGGAAGTTGTCTGCCATGCTCTGCTCTTTCATCTAATTCCAATCTGCTGTATAACAGGTAAACTGCTGTGGGTCGCACTTGCTTGTTTAAATTTACCCGGCTCAGCCTGAGCCTTTGATTTCAGCATCTCGTTTAATTCAAATGTTTTTTTTGAAGAAAAGCGTTTTTATTTATTTAGCCTTTTATTTTTTCATAAAGAAGTGGGGTTGGGCATTGTGAGGCAGCTGTGGCGGTGGGATAATAAGAGGAGGCGCAGGGAGGGCCAATTTAACCGAGAGTGTCTGTCGCTAGTCTACCGGCTCCTTTCGTTTCAAGAGGCCCGGTCAGCTGTCTTGACTTCTGTCATTTCGATCTCGTTTTATTCTTCTGCTGTAATGTATACTTTAATTCCCGCCCGCCTGCTGTCTGCGTGCGGCAGCATGGTCTGCAGGAGCAGCTGGATGGGGAGGTGCAGGTATCATTAAGCCTTGGAGAGGCACCAGCAGAACGCTGCTGAGTGCTATAACGTGGCTCCTCGCAGCGCGTGTTGATGTTTCTGGGGGCCAGCGAATGTACAGCCTGGTTTATTTTCAATAGGAACCCGAGGCCGGGCTTGGCCGGAGAGTCCCCCCCCCCCCCCCCCCCCCCCCCCGACTTCTTACTCGGGCTGTTGATATTGAGTCAAGCAAACACTCTCTCAGGGATGTCCTGTTGGGCACTCAGCCAAAGTCGTATATGGAAGTCACATGTGGAGACTCCAGAGGAAGGCAATTCACACCCATCGCTATATTTTATCCTTGCATAAGTTTTGTGAAAAGCACTACATATATAAATAATAGCTATTTTGTCGACCGAATCATCGAGCCTTACATTTGTCTCACTCACTGATTTAGAAATTGTATATTTCCCAAAAGGACTGCTATTTCTCGAACAACAAACAAAATCATGTGTTATTGTGATTGCAGTAATCAGGCCCCGCTTTACCTTCACTCCCTGCTCTCAGGTTTTTTCGCAGGTTTTTTTTACGTATGCAAATATATTTTGGACACTGTCATTATCAGCCACTTAATAGGCATTTCATTTGGGATTTTTCTGGATGCACGGTGCAAAGGCAAGTTGCCATGGATACCCTGGTGCTTAAGTACAGTATATTAAAATGGTGCTGCCTTCCAACCACTTATATAATCACTGGTCCGTAATGGTCTCTGCTCTCTGGCCATAAGCAACACATCGTGTGATCAACATTGCACCTCCTCACTAAGCCTTATTTGTTTTTTTTACTGATTTATTTGTAGGCAGGACTAAGTGGCTCATGAATTGTGCTTGTGAAACACTTGTGTGACATCTGATGAATGGTGTGTGCTCCGTGCTTCATATGTTTTTGCCCTTTGGAAACAGTGGTTATCATTGTGTGGGAGTTGTTCGGGGCAGTTGAGCACATTTTAACAGACGGTGAAATCCCTTTATTTTGTCTGACTAGCTCTTAAATGTGAGGAGGGAGGAGGGAGGACGGAAGTCAAAAGCTAACATCATTGATGCTCTTGGCAATTTGGCTTCAATAAATATACAACCCCCGCAGTCAGAGAAAAGCCACAAAGTCTTTGTCTCCCTGCGCCATTCTCTTTGTCTTCTGTCCTCACTCCACTTGGGTATATTTAAAAGGTCACGCATCCTTTTTATTTAAAACGCACACTAAGCGTTTTTCTCTTCCAAACTTCACTCATTTCTGTCATCAGCGTGCAACGTTTTAGGCTAATGGTTGTTAAAGGAGTGATTCATATGGCTGAAGGCCGGGCTGCCTCTGACTGACAGAGCTCAGGGCGGCGAATGCACTTCGTGGTGGAAGTGTAGGTGGCAGAAACGGCGAGGGAAGCCGCTGTGATGGGCGCTTGACTTTGTCTTGTGCCCCGGAGGCAATGCACTTCACTGTGGCTTTAATTGAAAATGAATAGTTAGTGGTGGTGTGTGTGTGTGTGTGTGTGTGTGTAAACTGTGAAAACGATAGCGGTGCCGGGAGACGGGGAGCGACATCCGCCGTCGTCGCGGCGTTGCGCTGCATCGCAGATCCACTGCTCTGCCGCTGCTGCTCCTGCCAGGGTTGGTAACCAGCTGCTGCCAGCCTCGCCCCTCCCCACTGTACCCACTACACATGTCTATCTCTCTCCCACCCCACCCCCCTTCTTTTTCTCTCTTTCTCCTTTCACTGTTCTGCTGCCGCCACATCAGGACGCTGGTGGGCCTGTTCGTCTCCGTTGACCTTGGCAGCGGGAAAAAGCTGCTGGAAGAAGAGACAGAGGGAATAAACACCTGAAGGGAGGAGGCACGCAATTGTCACAGATGTGTAGAAATAGGCATAGCGGTCCCCTAGTGAAGCGAATGTTTCTAAGGCCAGGGGCCTCTTGTTTGTCTTTTCCAGTGAGGCACTCTGAGTAGTTTATTAAAGGGGCTGAAGGAGCTTTCTAGCCCGAAGCCCTGAACGTTGAAAGAGAAATGGGAGAAATTACTGACATAATGTGGATGCTTAGAGCAATTAACAGCAGTTGTTTAATGTTAGCCCCCTTTGCCTCTCTCTCTCTCTCTCTTGCTTGCATTTGCTCTCTTGTCATCCCCCCCTCTCTCTCCCTTTCTCTCGCTTGCTTCAACTCCCACCGTCTCTCCCACTCTGCCGAGATTGTTTAGTGTTTACCCTTCCCTGCTTCAGAGCCCACTAATGAAAATGCTACATCTTTTGGTCTGTGTTGGTCTCTAAATAATGATATCACACGGCTGAAATATGCTCCAGCGGAGCCTGGGCGATAATGTGCTACTCAGAGCCTTTTTAAATCACGCCAGTGCACCGCTCAGAGCTGCGAGTTCAACTGGTCTTCACCCCGTGTTAGGGGCTACGTCTTACCCTAAATAAATCTGTCATAGTTGCCGTGGGTGCCTCTCTTTTCAAACATAAAAGTTCTGGCACTCTCAATAACCTCTTGCTGTGGCTGCCTGTATGCCTTTGTGTGCGTGTGTGTGTGGGGGTGTGTGTGTGTGTGTGTCGGTGGGCAGCTCAGAATTTTATTTTGGTGTTGCATCTCTGCCAGATTTAAATGTGTGTCTGTATTTGATTATACGTACAAACTTATGTCGGCAGATGTAAAAACAAAAAAAGAAATAAACAACAACACAACTTGTATTAAATCTCTCAGGCCCATGTGGCAGAGCGAGCTGGTGGCAGATGGACTGGCTTTCTGCATCTGCTGTGTGCAGACTGGGGGCTTTGTACTCCTCTCTCCTGGGGAAGGCCGAGCCTTTCTTCTTGCCAGTAGATTCCTGTCTTTTGGAGCGACTAAGAAAAACATCTGTGGGGAGGGAGAGAGGGAGGGAGGGAGGGAGAGAGGGAGAGAGAGAGAGAGAGAGAGAGAGAGAGAGAGAGAGAGAGAGAGGAATAAAAAAGAAAATGACAAAATAATTGGCAAACACCATTAGCCCTAAATGTTCCAGCTCATTGCCTGTTGTGCATTGTTTACAGAAGGGGAAACACGGTGATGCATCCCATTCAGCACATCTGAGCCCAGCCCAGCTTAATTCAGCTCGCTTCCAGCTTTCGTCGGCTTCTTTAGCAGGCGGTGGGGACCGGCGTGTTTTTTATTTGTGTGGTCCCAGTTAGAGATACTGAACTAATTCATTCGGAGAGAATTGTTCAAATAATTTAATCCTCATGTTAGACATCTGCACATACACGTTTGTGTTTTATCGAGTGGTAAACCAAGCTTTTAAAAACTGTGGCAGAAGGGAAATGCTGTGAAATGTTTGTCAGCTTGTGTTTTTAACTTCTTTTTATACATTTTGTTTTTGATCGATAGAATATTAAAACCCATGTCTTCACTGTCTTGAGAATACATTTTTAGTTTTGCCAGGCGTATTGTTTCATTCTTAATGTACTCGGAGTGGACACAGTGGTGGTAGCATATTGGCAAAAAAAAGACTCAAAAAAGCGTGGTCCTTGTGTTTTGTATAAGAAAAAGTGAGGGAGCATGAGGCTTGTGGAGGTCCCCCACCACTTCTGAACCTTTGTGGTCTCCCTCCCCTCTCAGATTCCTCTACAAAACGGCTCCTCTGAACCCCCGTTATACACACACACACACACACGGTTCCACCCCCCTCACCAGTTCTTTGCCAACTCTCGCCACCCTCCGCCCCCTCCTCCCAGCGACCAGCCCCCCCTACCCCACCGATCAAGCCACTGGTTTTGTGTACTATTGGTCCTCCGGCGTCAAAACAATCCAGTGGGGCTGCCCGACTTGTTTTAATTAGGCAGCACTGAAACGGCAACTGTCTCCCAGACGTGACCAGGCAGAGGTGCTCTCCCCTCGCACTACTGTAAATATGGCTGTAAATACTTCTCCGGTGATGTCTGTCACAGGAAGCGTCAGCTAGTTTTCTCTTTACTTTTTGTCCCCCCCCCCCCCCCTTTTTTTCCCCCCACGTTTGATGCTCTGATTTCTACTTGCGGCATTTCCCCCTCTCTGCATTTTTGATACACACTTACGCTTCCAGGCTTCTGAGAATACTTCTTCAAATGCTTCTTACTGGGAAGAGTGGATTTCTCACTCATTGTTTCAAAGGTAGGTCATTTTGTCTGTGACTCTGTCACTCTCTCTGTTGCAGTCTATTTATGTTTGGATGTGTACTTGTGGCATCGGAGCAGTGCTTTGTGATCGAGTGTTACTTGGTAACATATGGATGTGATATGGCTAATTGTTTTTAAGAACCCTATGCACGCCGGAGCACAGTATGGTGGCTACCGACTGCCACTCAGCCCCTCGCTAATCCCATTCAGACTCTTTACATCCACACGCACACGCACTTTGACATGCACACAATCGGAGCTGAAAAGAAAAGCACTGAACTGTGCTAGACTGAAGCCAGACACACATACCTTTGCGGCGAACGCACCTCTCGTATAGCGGCGTCCTCCAGCCCTTCTTCTGCCTCCGTTTCCCTCTCGTCTCAGCGACGCCGCGCACATAGAGCAGAGTAGAGAGCCAGTCGGGCAGGTTGTGTGTGTGTGTGTGTGTGTGTGTGTGTGTGTGTGTGTGTGTGTGTGTGTGTGTGTGTG